CTCTCAAGAGAACAGCAGCCTGACAGTGTCATTGACGTCTGTCTCTGGTGCTGCCGGGGAAGGCAAGGTGTGTCCCGCTGCCGTCCCCAGCTGGCCGCGTAGTCCTGGGCAGGCCGCCCCTCGGCCAAGAATCCACCCTGGGGGGTCTTCTGTAACGGGGTGCCTGGTTCAGACCCCCGTAGACAAACGCGTCAAGACCAACGTTTGTGACGCGCCTGTCACCGTCCTCCTTGGTCCTTGGAGCGAGGGTGTGGCCTGGCTCGAGTGCCCCTGCGAGCGGGGCCTGTGCTCCTGCGCGTGTGCGCGTCTGCAGACCCAGGCGGGCAGCAGGTGCTCCCGCCCTGGGGACTCAGCCCCCACATGGGTCACTGCCACGTCCCTTCCAGGTGAGCTACCAGCTGGGCAGCGTCATGGACCTCTTCACCACCAGCCTGTCCCTCGCGGGCCTGAAGCCACCCGGCGACAGGGCCATCGACGGGCTCGACCTCCTCCCCGCCATGCTGCAGGGCCGGCTGACTGACAGGTTGGTGTGGACGGACGCCCCGCCCCAGCTGTCCCCCTCACCAGGCAACGGGGCCTGTAGCCACTGGCCAGGCCGAGGCTCCCAGGCCCAACACAGCGGGGCTCGCGCTCGGGACGGGCTGATGGGGAGATCGGGGGGGCTTGTGGCCAGGGGGCCCTGGACCCCGCTCGTGGGGAGGGGCTGGGGGGTTCTGGGCACAGGGGCGCCCTGTCCCTCTGGAGGGCGTCACGCAGCCGGGGCAGGGAGGACAGGACACTCGCTGCCTGTGTCTCTGCCCCCAAATCCCTGCCCCTCCGACACTCACCTCGTGCCGCATCCTTGGTGTCCAAAGTCCGTTTCTTCCCACCTGAGACCGGCCACCGTTTTGCCCAAACCAACCAAGTTTCCTGGGCGGCTCTGAGGGGTACGGGCCGTAAAAGCCGCATAGCCACAGGAGGCGGGGCCGCGTGGGGGTGCCGTCTGCGCGTGGCCCTGGCTGCGGGAGGATTTGCCATTTGTCCTCTGGAAACCCGGCCCAAGTCCAGCCACTGCTGGGCAGAGGATGTGCCGGCTCCGTCCCGGCCCCCACGGCTGCAGCAGGTCCCACAGGCCCACCTGGACCCCCCGGGCCCCCGGCACCCTCTGGACCTGCCACCTTGTGCATGATCTGCCCCCAGCGCGAGTCTGACGGGAGCCTGTAACCTCAACTGAGCCTCAGCTGGCAGCGCAAGCAGCTCCCGCACATGGACTGGCGCAGCTCCCGCCGTTACACGACCCTCCGCTCCCTTCCCCTGACAGGCCAATATTCTATTACCGTGGCAACACGCTGATGGCGGTCACTCTCGGCCAGTACAAGGCTCACTTCTGGACTTGGACCAACTCCTGGGAGGAGTTCAGACGGGTACGGGGTTCAGGGCGCAGGCGGGGCGGACCCCGTGGAGCAGCATCCTGGGGGGGCCCGAAGCCGGGGAGCCAGGCAGGGCTCTGCTGCCGCCTCAGGTGGGCACAGGCCGGGGATGGGGATGGGGAGGCGCCTCTCTGTGCCCCGAATGTGTCTACAGGAACAGCCCAGGGCTGGACACGCCCTTCAGGAGGCCCCACCCCCTCGGGCCACCCTGACCTCAGGGAAGGAGCCCTGCAGGGTGGGCCCAGCTGGGCCCAGGTCACATGACCCCGCCAGGCTGGAGGTGACAGGGACATGGCCGTCAGTGTCCTTCCCCCACCCCACCCCTGGTGCCTCCGAGGGCTGGAGGGGGCAACGCCACCTGCACGGGGTCAAGCGGTCCTGCTGCTGCCGCCCCTGACACTGCTCCGCAGGGCGCCTGGGCCTCCACCACGGCCTCGCCCTCCCCCCGCCCACGACCCCGATTAGCGGGGTCTTGATTAAGCGGCTCATTTGATTTGCATCCAAACTGTGGTCTGAGTCGTCTGTCTAGACTTGCGTCCTTCCCGCTAACTGCGCCGCGCCTCTGCGCTGAATGTGGTTGTGTCCCTGCCGCCAGCTCGCGTTGTTCCCCAGCTGGTCCACTCTCCAGGGCCAAAAGGTCACCCACTTTGGACCACTTTGGTGCCCACTGCTGGCTGCCCGGAGCCACTCAGAACACAGCCCCTCCTCTGCAGCCACAACTCAGGAGTCCACGGCTCAGGGCAGATAAGTGGACAGCTGTCCCTCGAGACATGCGGGACACGGGGCAGCCTGGGACAGAGCTCAGGCCTCATGTGACCCCCCAGCCCACTGACAGTGGGTGTCAGAGTCCCCGGAGGGCACCGAGGCCTGGCACTGTGCCACGCGTACCTGGGTCTTGAAAGGAGTGTTAGCGTGTTACCCACCTTCCCGCTCTTCTTTGTTTTGTTGACTATTGATCATGGTTATTTATTTTTTTACATTTTTTATTTTCTTTTACTTCAGAGTATTACGGGAGCACAGGCGTTTTGGTTGCAGAAATTGCTTTTGTACAGTTTGAGTCAAAGTTACAAGCGTGCCCATCCCCCAGGCAGTGTGCGTCGTACCCGTTAGGTGTGAATTTGCTCGTCCCCTGACCGTGGTTATTTTTAGGCCCTCGCCGCCGCTCGAGCCGGCTGGCGGGTACTTGGGTCCCATGTCGGCTCCTGGCGTCGTGTTTCCCGGGGGCTTCAGGCCTTGGGGTCCCCTCACCTTCCAGATGCCTTCCGGGAACAGTGCTGTCGCGGTCTTCCTCTCCCCATCGGCAGACAGCGCTTTTGTCTGTGACACTAGCGGCATCAAGATATGTGATTGGCTAAAATATTTTAAAGACGCTCATCTGCCCCCACCCGCACCCCTCTGGGGCCGTGGACGGTGGGGAAGCTCCGCCCCCGCCAGGCGGCCTAAGAGCTCCCGCCTGCCTGTGCTCCTTCCCGCAACACCCTGCACCCTGTGGCGGCCGGCGCAAGGGGGACACCTCACAGGGCTGCCCTGGGGTCCCCAGGGCCTCACTCACCTTCCCTCCCGCCTCCCTGCAGGGCGTGGACTTCTGCCCCGGCCAGAACGTCTCCGGAGTAACGACGCACACCCAGGAGGAGCACACGGAGCTGCCCCTAATCTTCCACCTGGGCCGGGACCCGGGGGAGAGGTTCCCGCTCCGGTGAGTCGGGGTGCGGTGGGGGTGGGGGGCGCCCATGGGGCTCAGCTGGGCGCAGGCTGCTGCCGACACAGCTATTTTTCTCATCTCGGAGTGAATCTGGCATTTTCCGCCAAACCCAGATCCCCGTTGGCAATTCCTTAGGAGCCACACAGAGACCCCACAGCCCCCGGTCCCCCTCCCACCTGCCTTCTCTGCCCGGGGGCTCCTCCAGCTCACCGGGGTCTCGTGTGCCACAGACGCTGTCCGCGTTCTGCCCCGTCAGGCGGGGTCTGGGGAAACCGAGGCCGGCAGGGAGTGGCCGCCCAGGGGGAAGCCAGGCCTGAGGTCGGAGCTCGGCCCCCGCTCTGCTCGCAGACGGCCTTGGTTTGCACGGAGCTGATGAGGGAGCAGCGGAGACCCACACGGACACGGGTGGCAGTGCCGCCGCCAAGGCCCACCCTGAGGCTCCTGTCGTGCCACCCGGGACCCCTCGGGCCCCTCCTGTCCCACGGGAACATCGTCTGACTCAGAAGCCCAGGACGGTGACTTTGGGAGCAAATGCAGAGACGTCTCAGACGGAGCAGCGTCCGCCAGGCCCAGGCGCTGCTGGCACCTGACCGCGTGCGCTGATAGGAGACAGGCTCTTTGCCGGCGCAGTTAATACTCGGGTGGGAACGAGATCACCCTGGGGCAGGACGGGCCTAAATGCAATGACAGGGCCCTAAGTCCAGAGAGGAGGCAGAGGCCACGTGAGCGAGCGGCCACATGAGTGAGCGGCCACATGAGTGAGCAGCCACCGGAGCTGGAAGAGGCGACAGGGAGCTGCCACTGCCACATCTTGATCTCCGGCCCTGGAGAGGACAAATGTCAGCTGTGGTCATTGTTGCAGCAGCCTCAGGGGATCCAGCCCCTGTGACTTTCCCGTGGCACTGGGGACACCTCTGGGTCACCACAAACCGCGGGGCTGGAGGGACAACCTGGATGTGCCGCCTGCGGAAGTCACTGTGGAGCAACAGCCCCGGCTGTGAGACGCTGTTGGCCACGTGAGCAGACCGCAGCCCCACCACGCAGGGCATGCAGCCACCCCGCACCCTCCCCCGAGGCCCGCGGCCCCCAGGGACCAGCCCAAGGTCAAAGCGTGGATTTGCACCGCCCACTGGCATTGGCTCATCTGGTCCCCAGGGGGCTCCCTGTGGCCGCTCCCACCTGCTGTCTCCCGGCTGCCCTCCTCCCCGCAGACACGGCAGAGCATCCCGGGCCAGCAGGCACGAGGAGGGCGCTGTCCCAGGCCAGATGCTCCGGTGTGGCCACCTGCCCTTGGCCGCTCCTCAGACGCGGACACACGTGTGCTTTGGAGGGAGCCCTGGCCATCGGGAGGACGCGGGGGCAGGTGGGGCTGGCGCAAGTGCACCTGCCCACAGAGTCCTGCAGAGACGCAAACGCGCCCGAGACCCTCCTCTGGGTTGAAAGTGCACCATGAGACCAGGGGGCCTGCGCGGCAGAGCCAGGAGCTGTGAGGGACGGGTCAGGGCTCCACACACCCCGGGCGCACCCAGAAGTCCCCTCAACAGGCCGGGCCAGCGAGAGCAGGAGAGGATGAGGACGCACGTTCCTATGTGCACCGAACGTCGCTTCCACGTCAAACTCCGTCTGTAGGGGAGGTTCTGGTGCTAAAAGCTGCTTCTCAGTCTGTGGGTGTCAGGGCAGAGGGGCCGGGCTCCACCAGGAGGCTGCTGGGCCGGGCCGGTGCTGGCACCATCGGGGAGGGCCGCCACCCAGCCGCAGCCACCATGAGGGTCCCGCAGGCCACGTCCCGCTTCCAGGAGAGTCGGCATCCCTGGCCCGTGAGGAGCAGATCATGCACCGTTGGCCGCCCAGCGGACACAGCGACCAGCTCGTCCCTCCGCCTTTCCAGGCCCAGCCCCTCCCGGCCCTCCTGTGCTGCCAGCCCAGGAGACCACGGCGGCATGACCGGGCGCTCGTGCTCTCTCTCCCTCCAGCTTTGACAGCGCCGAGTACCTGGACGCCCTTGGCAGGATCAGCCCCGTTGTCCGGCAGCACCAGGGGGCCTTGGTCCCCGGTCAGCCCCAGCTCAACATGTGCGATCGGGCGGTCATGGTGAGTGGCTTGTCCTCGGGAGCCGTGTCTGGGCTGCGGCCACCACGCTGGGCTTCTGTCCCCGAGCACCACTCACCTCCTCGCAACGCGGCCGTCTAGGGCTGCAGCCCAGCGCCCCAGGCATCACCCACGGCCCAGGGAACACCACGCCGGGGCCCACAGGTCCCAGGACAGGTGCAGCCACAGTCTGTCCCGTTGAATGTCCCTGCCCTCCTCCCTGAGGAGCCAGGGAGGGTCAGCACAGAGCTGAGGGTCCAGGCGCCCCTGACCCGCGGCCCACACGTGGGGTTGCATCTCCTTGCTGGCCTGGGGGTCCCACGATGGCTCCTGCACCCCCAAGCTCTATCCTGCTGGAGGTGGGCGCCAAGCAGGTGTGTGGTGCTTCCCTGTGGGTGGTGGTGGCCCCAGGGCCTGCCTGGCTCAGTCCCACTATGCCTCCTGGGTGTGCGGCGGCCACCGGCGGCCACTTCTCAGCACAGGGATAGCCTCCTGACAGGGACAGGCTTTGATGGCATCTCTGACGGGTCGTACCCGCGTGGCCCTCGCTCTGCCTGACAGAGACGGTAACGCGTGTGCGTGGCCTTGCTCCTGGGTGCCCCGGCAGAGCGCAGCTGAGATGGCTGCACCCAGCCCCCAGGCCCTCGCCCCACTCACCCCATTCCACACACGCAGGCACGGCCACCCGCAGCCCCTGGGTGCTGGAGTCGGCATTCAGGGCTGCTCTGGGGATGGCGTCGTCTTGGCCATCTGCAGACAGTCAACTGTGGGCTCTTTCCGTGGCTTAACATCCCGTCCCAGGGTCAGGGTCAGGGTCAGACCAGACTGCAGCTGTAGGAGCCACTTGGCGCCTGTTGCTGTCTTCTCTGAGCAGCCGGCGTTGGGGACGCCGCGGCCGCCTGGCAAGCTGTGGAGGTGGCCGCGGCCGCCAGAAGGCTGGCGCCCCGGGGAAGGCGGTTGCTGTGAGCACGCAGAGTGCCCGTCACGCGGCCAGGGGACACACTGCACAGGGTGTCCACAAGGGTTCTCCAAGCAGTGGGGACCACTGAGGGCAATGGCCTTGTCCAAGGCCTCAGGGATGGCCTGCCCTGTGGGCGCCATTTAGGACTGGGCTGGGCAGGGCCGCCTCAGCTGGGCGCCTGGTTGCTGTCCCCACACTGGTGCCTGTCTTCCCGGTCTCACCATGGAAGACGTTCAGCCCTTCCCTCACAGGGACGCCGGGCAGCTGGCGTTCTGGCCTCTGCACTCGTGTGGGGAGAGCGGGTCCCTGTCTCGGGACCACTGAGGTCTCCCGAGGACCCCCAGCCCTGGCGGAGCCTGGTCTGCTCTTCAGGCACAATGCCATCCCCGGGCAGAGGACCCTGTGCCCGTACCCGGGGACAGGCCATCTCCAGGTGGCGGCCACTGCCCAGCTGTGGCGATGACAGTCGGCTTAGGGACTGGCACACAGCTGGTGCCGCCACCTCCTGGGCGGCGGGGGGATTGCCGCGACCGGCTGCACCCCACACTCTGGAGCAGGACCCAGCGAGCCGCTGAGACACTCTGGGACCAGCCGCGGGGTGGGGCCCGGACTCCACCGGGAGCCGCACGGACTCACACGCGTGCGCGGCACAGGCCCCTCTCCTCTCCCCGCCCCCCGCCCTCTCCCCAGGACCCTGCACTCAGCTCTGCTTCCCCGAATTTCCAGACCAGTGAGGTGAGGGCTCAGTGGGACCCCTCTGGGTATCCGAGACGAGACTCAGTCCCCATGTGGCCTGTCCCCACCCCTGAGCCACGGCCACCTGTCCCACTGCCACCAGACACTGAGCAGCCTTCAAGAAAGCCGGTTGGGGGGGATTCAGATTCAGTGTCACGCCCTGCCTCCTCCTCTGCTGTCCCTCAAGGCTGGGAGCAGCTTCCTCATCCAAACCGAGTGCTCAAGCCAGCAGCCAGGCCTGTGAGACCACTGGGCGGGGCTGCTCACACCATGTGCCCGACACCATGTGGGGGACAGTGTCATCGCTGCTCTGATTCACATAACACCGGAATCTGAGGTCTGTCCCAAGGAAGGGCCCTTCGGCCACCTGGGTCTCCCTCCACGGCACGGCTGGGGCCTGGGTGAGGTCCCAGCAGCCCGGCAGGTCTCCTCTGCGGGGCACGAGTCTCCCGCGCAGATGCAAGGAAGAGCTTGCTCACGCAAAGCAGGTCCGGGCCCCACCGAGGGCTGCAGCTGCTCTTCCCTTGGAAACCCAGGCCGCCGGCCGGAGCGCGAGGCTGTAGCCTTCCCTGGCACAGCTGGGTGTGTGGAGGTCCCTGACTGGTTTCCTCTACTTGGACACGTGGCTGGGACAAGGGCAGCTGTAGCGTGTTCCCGCCGTGGCCACCCACACCCTGATCCTTCCGCTGGTCCTGGCCAGCCCCAGCCTCCTCAGGGGCCAGCGGGGCCGGACAGGAAGGCGCCGCTCCCCAAGTTCCCAAGACTCCTGGTGATGAGGGAGGTGGACACAGACATTGTCTCCTCACTGCGGCCAGTCCGGCCGGGGGTCTGGCCTGGGCGGGACAAGCGTCTGGAAGTGCTTGGAGTAACCGCATGTTCCTGTCCTCAATTCTCATTCCCCAGAACTGGGCGCCCCCAGGCTGTGAGAAGTTGGGCAAGTGTCTGACGCCGCCGGAGCCTGCCCCGGAGAAGTGCTCTTGGCCCCACTAGGTCTGCTTGGACCCAGGGATCTGCAGTTGGCCCTGCAAGTGCCTGGGGGCAGGAAGGCTCTGGCCACAGGGCTCCAGTTGGGAAAGTCCCAAGGGCCTTTGTCCCTGCCTGCGCCAGACGGCACTGCGGCCAGCAGCGGGACCTGCACAGCTACACCTGCCCTGGCTCTGCTCGCCCAACCCACAGGCCCCAGGCCCCAGGCCCCAGGCCCCAGCCCCCAGCCCCGCGGTCTCATGTCTCCCCCCTGGCTGGCCTTGTCCCGGGTGTGGCTGGCACACCACTCCAGGCCCTGGGGGTGGGACTCACGGCCCTGGTGCTGAAGGTGACAGCGCCCATCCTGTGCTGAGCCCTCAGTGCTGGCGAGGGCCACTCCTGCCCCCCAGCACCACCCACCCCACACTCTCCAGGGTCCCCTTCTCCCTGCTCCCCGGAGCTGGGGCTGTGACAGGAGGGCGTGGGGGCGGAGAAGGCCTCCTGACCTGGGGCCCTGACAATGAGGGACGGCCCACACGCTCCCCGCTGCTGGGGACAGCTGGTGTCACTGCTGCCTCAGCACGCGGCGTGTCCAGACGCGGGGACAGCCCCTCGCTGGCCCCGGAGAGCTGGAGACGGCCTGCAGCGCTGCCCGGCCTGCGTGGAGCGAGTCTCGGTCCGTGGGGCTCCCGCGCCCAGGCTGGAAGTGGTGAGGAAAAGGGCCGCGGAATAAAGGAATGGGGCGTCTAGCTCTGCTGTCTTGGTTTTTAAAAAGCGAGATTGTGCGTCGGGGAAGTTGTGCCTCGGGGAGTCCCGGGGTACTGGGCCTCTGGGGCGCGGATGGAGGGCGACGCCGCCAGGGCTCCGGCCCGGCTGGGGCGGGGAGACTCCGGGTCAGGACTAGGACTGAGCCCGCTCCCACCTCCCTCGCACCGCGGCTCAGCCCGCAACGGGCCTGGGCCTGGGCAGGCCGGACGCGACCACCTGGCCCGCAGCGAGGAGGGCGCCACGATTCGCGCCTCTGTCCGGATCCCCGTGCCTGAGAGGGGGACGCGTCTGTTCAGCGGTGCAGGGAATCCGAGCGCGCCAAAAACTCGGGGCGCCTAGAATCGACGAAGTACGGTAATACTTCCCGGAGACGGAGGCGGGCCCCGCCCCTTCCCGCGGACGCCCCGCCCCCGCCCCGCGCATGCGCGCCCGCGTCCCCGGCGCGTCACACGCGGCCATGGCGGAGCCCGAGCGGTCCGAGCTGGAGCTGCTGGCGCAGCGGATCCGCCTCTTCCCCGACTTCCCCTCGCCCGGCGTGCTGTTCAGGTGCGAGCGCGGCCCGGCCCCTGCCCTGCCCTGCTCTGCCCGCCCGCGGCGCGCTCACCACGCTGTCCCCGCGCAGGGACGTGTCGCCGCTGCTGAAGGACCCCGCCGCCTTCCGCGCCTCCATCCGCCTCCTGGCGCGGCACCTGCGGGCGGCGCTCGGCGACCGCATCGACTACGTAGCGGGTGAGCGGGGCGGCGGGCCCGGGCCCCTCGGGACCGCTCGGCGACCGCCATTCCCCGTCACCGCGGCCACCCGCCCCCTGCTCTCCCACAGGCCTGGACTCGCGGGGTTTCCTGTTCGGGCCGTGCCTGTCGCAGGAGCTGGGCCTGGGCTTCGTGCCCATCCGCAAGCGCGGGAAGCTGCCGGGCCCCACCGTGAGAGCCTCGTACTCGCTGGAATACGGGACGGTGAGCGGCGGGCGGGCCCCTCCGTTCCCAGGCAGCTGGGGGGGTAACAGCGCCCGTGGAGCTCAGAGGGGTTGGGACGGGCGGTGGTGGCCACTTGTCAGCTCCCAGGCTCTGCACACGAGGCCGGCCCCTCTCCGTGGGAGACTGAGGCCGCACCGGCTTCCTGCCCGCAGGCTGAGCTGGAGATCCAGACAGACGCCCTGGAGCCCGGGCAGAAGGTGGTGGTCGTGGACGACCTGCTGGCCACTGGCGGTGAGGGTCTCGCCCAGCACACAGCTGAGGCTCCGGGTGCTGGGGGAGGGAGGGCGCCTCTCCACGCGGGGTGGGGGCTCTGCAGTCACAGCCTCACCTGGGGCTGGCCCGGAGCGCGGGCCCTGCAGCCCAGCTACAGCCAGGGGCCCCGCCCGCCCCCGTCCCGCAGGAACCATGCGAGCTGCCTGCGAGCTGCTGGGCCAGCTGCAGGCCGAGGTGCTGGAGTGCGTGACCCTGGTGGAGCTCACCTCCCTGCGAGGCCGCGAGAAGCTGGGGCCAGTGCCCTTCTTCTCCCTCCTGCAGTTCGAGTGACCCCGTGGCCTGCCAGCCCCCCTTCAGCCGGGAAAGTGTCATCCCGGAGCCACCAAAGTGACCTTTGCTGGGCACCACAGCCACTGGCTGCCGGGTGACACCCCAGTGCCCCGGGGCCCTCCTGGAAGTGCCAAAGCCTGGAGCAGGCGCCCTGGGGCACAACCCTGTGTGCGGCCTGTGTCCAGTTAAAAACTCAGCAAGAGAACACGAGTAAACGTCTCTGCTACACACAGTGTCTCCTGTCATGCTGTCGCCCAGGACAGGAGCCCTGGGACCCAAGGCCAGCGCCTCAGCCTTCCAGGTGCAGTGGGTGGCAGCAGTGCCCAGACTGGGCAGGGTGCGCAGCGCTCACTGCGGTTCTCTCCTCACGGGCTGTGACCTCCACTCAGGTGGGAACGGGCCGTGTGGGTGGCGAGGGGCCCATGTGCAGGAGTCACAGCCATGAGGCGGCAGGTGCTACCTGCGTTGGTTTTCAGTTGCCACAAACTCAATGACTTAAGCGCAACTTAATTATCTTAGAGTCGGCCGGGCGCGGTGGCACACACCTGTAATCCTAGTTCTCTGGGAGGCCGAGAAGGGTGGATTGCTCAAGGTCAGAGTTCAAGACCAGCCTGAAAAAGAGTGAGACCCCGTCTCTGGTAATAATAGAAAGAAATTAGCTGGATAACTAAAAATATATAGAAAAATGGTGGCACATGCCTGTAGTCCCAGGTACTCGGGAGGCTGAGAAAGAAGAATCACTTGAACCCAGGAGCTGGAGGTTGCTGTGAGCGAGGCTGACGCCACGGCACTCTAGCCTGGGCAACAGAGTGAGACTGTCTCAAAAAAAAAAAAAAAAATTATCTTAAGAGTCACAAAGGTCAGAAGTACAGAGATCAAGGTGTTGGCAGGCTGGGTCCTTCTGGGCGGTCCAAGGGGCATCTCCCCTTGTCTCCCAGGGCTGCCGGCACTCCCTGGCAGGGTGGCACCTCCCTCTGCCTCTGGTCTCCAAGAAGGACCCTGTGATGACACTGGGCCCACGCGGGCCCTAACCCTAACGTCATCTCCAAACTCCTGGCGTGATCAGTTCCTCTGCTGTGAGGTCACGTGTTCACAGGTTCCAGGATTAAGATGGGGGACATGTCTTGGGGGTGGCGCTCTGTCAACCACACTCCCCGACCCTGCCCAGCCCCACGTCCCTGACAAGTGGTGTCAACAGCTACGAAGGCTGAACTGCATACAGAAACCGGTTTAATATCAACACACCGTACCCGAGACCAACAACACAGACCCACCACCCACCGTCAGGAGACCCCCAGGAAGAGAAGACCAAAGTGCGTCGAGTTCATATAAGGAATAAAACAAGCGCAGTGGCCCAGACCAGTGTGTCCCCAGCCCACATGCTCTGCAGCAGCCGCTGGACTCACAGCCCCTCGGCGCGGGCGCGGAGGGCCAGGCGTGCGGTGACGCTGGCCAGGTCGGCGGCCTTGTCCAGCTTGATGTAGGTGTCGGAGCGAACGTGGTGGAGGCTGAGCCAGTCGGGCAGCAGCTCGCACAGGAGCAGCAGGTGCTTCTCCATCTCCCCTGCGGAGAGAGGGGGCGAGGAGGTGAGGCTTCCCCATCTCCCCTGCGCAGCGCTGGTGCGACCCGGCCCAGCCCCCCACCCGCGGGCACTGTCTGCCTCAGGGCGGGGGCGTTACACCCTGTCTGCGGGCCTCGGGGCTGAGGGGTCTGAGCAGAGGCCAAGCCTGCGGTCGCTGTCTGTGTCCTTGAGGACTGGAGGAGTGTAGCGGTGGCAGGGGAGCCCGGTAGGGGACCTGCCGCCAAGGCCCCGCGGGAGGAGGCCCGAGCGGCTGCGGGACCCGCATCCCTGTCCTGGTGGCCAGAGTCCAGGATTGCACAGCTCACGGCGGGCCTGCAGCCTCTGGGAGCTGGGCTTCTGTTCTGACCAGGAACGCAGGGAAACAGGCCAGGGGTGTGAGGGGGGCCCGGGGAGCCGCCTCAGGAGGCTGCGGGAGTGGAGGGGGCAGGCAGAGGGGCCCTCGAGGGGCACGCGGCACCCCGTGCGCACCTGGTGAACAAACCAACCCACCGTGGACGCCCCGTGGGGAGGCTGGAGAGGCGGTCGCGGGACCACAGTGGGGGAGCCCGCGGCCCACCCCACCTACCGGGGCTCATGGTGGCACAGTAGCTGCCCACCATCCGGGCACAGGCCACCGCCATGGTGAGCGCCGGCTTGCGCTCGGACACAAAGACGCCGCGCAGCACGCGGGCCAGCTCAGGCAGCCGCTCCAGCCTCTGTAGCCGCAGCTCCTGCTCCGGGCGCCGCGTCATCTGTGCCAACTGCTTCTGTGCCTCCTTGGCCCGGACCTGGGGTGGGTGCGGGAGGTTGGTTCGTGGGCAGCGGGTCACCCAGCCCCACGGCACCCAGCTGCCCGTCACTGGCTCACCCGCTCCAGCAGGTCCTGGGACACCCCCTTCAGGGCGTGGGTTGGGGTAGTGGGTGGGGTGGCTGGCGGGGTGGCGGGCAGGGCAGGGCTGCTGGGCTCAGCCGAGCGCAGGGCCAGCTGGCTCAAGGCCTTCTCCATCTGTGGGGGGACGGGTCAGAGGGGAGGTCACAAGAGGCAGTGCGCCCAGCCCTGCCAGAGGAAGCCCCTCACCCCCTGCCTAGACCCTCTGCCCCGGCCCCCAGGTTTCTCCAGGCCCAAGAGGAAGGCTGTGCTGGGTGACTCGGGGTCCCGGCCCGCAGTGCTGCCTGCTGGGGGGCACCTCCCTACGTGGGCGCATGCAGCTGTGCGGGCACATCCCCTCGTCTCTAGACCCCCCCAGCCAAGCACGAAGCTAGACGGGGTGTCGGGTACCCCTGTGGAGGCTCCGCCCTCACATCCACCCCGTGGGGTCAGGCTGGCCCCACCCACCCGGCAAAGGGGCCGGGTCAGAGCCCTGTCAGCCTCACCCTGGGTGACACCAGGCTGCGGGCCCGGGCCAGCACCTCCTGGGCGGAGGTGAGCTTCTCCGTGGTGGGCGGCTGGGGCAACTCGGCCGGCTCGATGTCAGGCACCTCATCCACACTGAAGCGCGGGTGCCAGCGGGTCAGCTGGTCATCGGGCACCTCCATGGGGGGGCTCAGGGAGGCGAGGAAGGCCTGTGGGAGAAGGGAGTGGGCAGGGGCCCCACTGGGTGACCCGGGACACATAGGAGACATGGGCTGTCTGAGCTGTCCTGGCTGGACAGCCTTGGGCATGTCACTAAACCTCTCTGTGCCCACGTGCTCAGCAGAAGAAGGCACAGGCCCCGCGGTCGGCACCCACTCGATGCCGTCACGGGCCTTCTCAGGGCCTGAGGCTGCAGCCCCAAGCTCAGGGCAGACTCGGCGCGGGTCTGCGTCCGCCGTGCAGCCGGGCAACAACAGGGCGCGCCCCCCACCCGTGAGACAGCGGTGGGGAACCAGGGAGAGGAAAACTCCAGAACTTGGCCTCTGGGTGGGGGCTGCCTGTGGCAGAGGTGCTGCGTGCGCCGAACGGGTGACAGGCACAGCGCTCAGGCAGCCCGCAGTGCGGCCACCTTTGTCTGGCAGGGGCCGGGTGCGCTCGCCACGCTCTGCCTGCCGCGCCACTCACCCTGTGGTGCTCCTTGGCTCGCTCGAGCAGCCGCTGCCTGAAGACCTGCCGCCGCTGCAGGAGGCGCGAGGCCGTGAGCTGGGGGGCTGCGCCGCCAGCCTCTGCGGGGAGAGTCCAGGCTTGAGCCCAGCCAGGCCGCCTGGCCCGTGACCCCGGTTCCCGGCGCCCAGTGCCGCACCCCTATCCTCAAACGCGCATGGGTCACAGGTGAGGAAACCGAGGCCCCGGGCCCAGCACGCTCACCCTGGTCTAGCAGCGGCTCGACGGTGAGCTGGTAATCGGACCTCTTGACGCCGTCCTTGAAGGTGGGGACGTTGCGCTCCTGGCGGAAGCGGTAGCACGTGGGATACACGGTTTTGATCTGGCCGACGTTGCGCTCCTCAAAGCGCCTGCGGGAGGCGGCGCCAGGTCAGGGGGACGCCAGGGCCGACAGCAAACCCGGGCGGCCCCAGCCCCGGCCGCAGGCCACTCACTTGCGCGTCATGTCCTGGACGCCCTGCTTGACCTTGGCGAAGGTGGCGGTCTCCGCGCGGTTGCAGAGCATGCCCACGATGGTGTCCATGCTGCGGAACATCTCGGCCAGCACCTGGTACTTGTAGGGCAGCACCAGCCCCGGAGGGCCGGGCTGGGCCAGGGCATGGAAGCGCTGGTAGGCGGGCAGCCGCTCGCCGCTGTCGGGGAGAGAGCCGGCTCAGGAAGAGCGGCAGCCGCACGCCCCTCTGTGCCCAGGAGCAGGCCACAGGCCGAGGAGACCCCACACGGCCGTTCACGGCGCCCCCGACACCCGCCGTCTCGTCAGGAGTAGCCTGGGCGCGACCGCAGACCCTGGCTGCACACTCCAGCCCCCGGGGTCCCCTGGCCCGGCGGCCTTGGCTCTGAGGAGCACAGGGCGGGGGACGCACAGCAAATGCCCTATGACCACGGGCCGTCCACAGCACCCCGGGTCCACCAGAGCCCACGAGGCGGCAGTTACCAACCCCTGACAAGTGGACGCCGGGGCTAGGGTGCGTGGGCAGCAGGCTGGGCTCTGTCGACTGCACCAACTTCTCCCTGGAAGGAGCAGCCCGGCCCTCTGCCCACTTGCCCCTGCATGGCCACCCACCCGGACTCACCATGGCTGCTCTGGACGGCCCTCAGCCGCCGGCGGGCCGGATCTCTCGGCATCCTTCTGGGCGCTGGCCTTCAGCGCCTGGACCCGCGCCTCCAGCACCCGAGCCCGCTGCAGGCATGACTGGAGCTCAGAGATGGTGTCCTTCCGGGGGACCTGTGGACCCAGGGTGCTGTCAGGCCAGCCAGTGGCCCCATGGCCAGTCCCCCGTGCCCTTGGGCCAGCTCCTCACCTTGTCCTGCAAGGCTGCCAGGCTGGACGGCTGACCTGCTGAGAGGGCATCCTTCTGTATCTTCCTGCCCAGAGAGGAGCGGGCTGGCGAGCCAGGGGGAGTCGGGGAGCCAGGGGCGGCCGGGGAGCCCGGAGCGGTGGGGGAGCCAGGGAGGGCCGGGGAGCCCGGAGCGGTCGGGGAGCCAGGGCCAGGCGGGGAACTGGGACCAGAAACCTGGTGGGAAGGGCCCAAAGGTGAACACATGACAAGACCCGGGTGCTCCTGGCTCTGCAGAAAGAGGACTCCTCAGGGGACCAGGGCGAGCCTTTCAGTTAAATGGACGCGCAGGGGCCTCGTTAATCAGGGTCTTTGCTGAAGCCAACCCGGAGGGGCACGCTCCACCTCCGCTGGGCCTTCGGGGTCTGACCCTCACGCAGCCTTGCAGATAAGCTGGGCCTCCCAGCCCGCCCCGTGGGATCCCCGGGTCAAACCCGCCAGTGCCTTCTTCCCCAGGTCCCTGCAGCGGCTACAGGAGCCGGCGGGGTCCCACCCGCCCCGGCCCCTCCTGCAAATTCCTGCGCCCTCCTTTGCGCGGCGACCACACCCCCGCCCCCGCCTCGGCTGCCCCTGCACCCCACCCCAGCGCGGCCTCGGAGTCCCCCAGCAACCCGTCCCTCACCGCTCCGGCCTCAGTTTCCCCCGCCCCCACCGCTCCAGCCTCAGTTTCCCCTGCCTCCACCACTCCGGCCTCAGTTTCCCCCGCCCC